ACACACACACACACACACACACACACACACACACACACACACACACAAACACGGTGACACCCATATACCTTCCCTCACACAAAAATACATAGCACCAGATGGGGGTGCCCTGGTCTGCATTGGAGACCTCACACCCACCCCTGTCTCCAGGCAGACTTTCTGAAAGGCTTGCCCGTCTACAACAAGAGCAACTTCAGCAGGTTCCACGCGGACTCTGTGTGCAAGGCCTCGGTGAGTGTGGGGCTGGGGGTGGCATCACTGTCCTGAGGATGAGGGTTGCCAGCTAACCCACCGCTCCCCGTCCACAGAACCGCCGTCCCTCAGTATACCTGCCGACCCGAGAATACCCGTCAGAACAGAGTGAGTACTGTAGGGCTTCGCCCTCCGCACAGCTAGGAAGGGCCTATGGAGGGGTATGGGGTGATCCTGGGGACAACAGCCCACTGTGCCTAGGAGTAGCAGATACTGGCTCTTCTCAGCCTGGACTGCCCTGCTCTCCTGCTGTCTCATACCTAAGACCATAAGCTGGGGCTCCTCCCCAGCAGGGCAGGACATGAAGCAGGCGAGGTGAACCCACTTGCCATCCCCGTGCTCTGGGTGCCAAGCCGGCAGGATCAGAAGTTTAAATGTGAGTTTAGCTGCCTGGAGTCGTGGAAGAGCCAGATGCGTCTGCAGCAGCCTGTAATGGGAATCTGCCCTACCGGGCAGTCTAGGACCAGCCAGCCTGGTGCAGCAGAGAACAAGGGCTCATCAGCAAGACAAAGGCGAGGGCCCCACACACAGGCCGAGGCACGTGTATACCCACACGGATCCTCTAATACCGCAAGCCAAGGACTGTAGGTGTAGAAGTGGTAAGGGCTGTGATTCTCTCCTGGGTCTGTGGGCTGTGCTGTCCAGCCCTGTGCTGTGGCAGAGGAGAAAGGGCCTGGTGGTTTTAACTGGCAAGAAAGAATCTGGAAGCCAGGCTTGGTAGTGCACACTTCTAAGCCCAGCACTTGGGAGGCAGAGGCTGGTGGATTTCTGTGACTTTGAGGCCAGCCTAGTCTATAGAGTGAGTTCCAGGACAGCAAGAGTTATATAGTGATGCCTGGTCTCAAAAAATAAACCAGTCTGACGAGATGGCTCAGCAGGTATAGGTGCCCACCACCAGGCTTAAAAACCTAATTCAGTCCCCAGAACCTGCCTAGTAGAGGAGAGAACTCCCCCAGATATCTTCTGGCCAGTGTGTACATCCACTTAGCCCAGCAAGGGGCCATCCATGGTCTCAGGGTTAGTGCTTGCTGCTGCTGCTGCTGCTGCTGCTGCTGCTGCTGCTGCTGCTGCAGGGGACCTGAGTCCAGATGCCAGCATCAGTAAGATGCTGTGCCTCACAAACACCTGTATCTCGCTCCCGCTCCAGAGGATCCAACGCCCTCTTGTGGTCTCCTGGGACACATGCACCCCCTCCCCCCACACACATAAATTTAAAATAATCAAAATAAGTTCTTAAAAGCAAAATGAATCTGTTTTTAAGAAACAGGAAAGAGGGTAAGGCTCATGCGTAGTGTAGCTCCCTGTCATGAGTGAGACCCTGGGTTCTGTCCCCAGCACCCAAACCTCGCTGTTGCCATGCATTTCTTCCCTGGTGTCTCTCTGCCTCAGACGGGCCCTGGGGAGTACAGAAGCAGATGGGAAGCCCCCTCAACTGAGTGCTGGCCTGTGTCCTGGAGCCTGGGCTCCATCCTTGGCACTGAAACTATGCTTCACACAGGCTGTCTGAGGAAGGTCCTAGCCAGGAGCCTAAGGGTGGGGTCCTCGGGGCAGTGAAGGCTGAGGCAGAGTCGGAGCTGTGTGCTTAGAAGGGAAGTGCCAGTCTTCAGACATTTCTAAGATAGAGATGCTGAATTTGAGCTCCATTTCTGGCAAGGCAGGCCAGGAGGCCAAGGTGGAGGTCAGATTCTCACTCTCTCTCTCTTTGCTTCTCAGTCATTGTGACAGAAAAGACGAACATCCTCCTGCGGTACCTGCACCAGCAATGGGACAAAAAGGCAAGGTTTTCACTGGGGACTGCGGATTTTCGAGTGGGAGCCTTGAGGGTTGAATAGGAGTTCTTCAGGTAGCCAGGACAATGGAGAAATACTTCAGTGGGTATGCTCTTGGGGTCCTAGTACTTACGATGAATCTGGTGCATTCTGTACTATACAGCCAGTGCCCAGTCAACCAAAACCACATGGTACAGGCCTGTCATCCCAGCATTCAGGAGGCCGAGAGACAGTGTCTTGGGTCAGCCTGAGATACATGAGGCCATGGATTTGTTTTTTTGGCTTTTTTGACACATGTCTCACTGAGCCCAGGATGTCTTCATACTTATACAGTAATCCTCCTGCCTCTTGACTCCCAAGTGGTAGTCTACAGGCCTATGCCACCACAGCCAAAAACCCATCCACCCAGCCTGCCTGAGTTCCTTGCAGGGTCCCCCAGGGGGCTGGCTGATGGCTCCCTCTAGGCCTTTGAGAAAAGGCCATTGGCAGGGACTCACGGCTTTAATCAGCAAACAGGAGGCTCTCTGACTTTGAGGCTAGCCTGGTCTACATAGTTTTGGGGCACCAACGATATATAAAGACTCTTGTCTCAAAAAGGTAGGGGGGAAGACCCACGCCACTGGCTGCCCTGGCGCCGTCCTCACCCTGGCGACTCTTTCCCTTCCCCCACCTCCAGAACGCTGCCAAGAAGAGAGACCAAGAGCAGGTGGAGGCAGAGGGCGAGAGCTCAGCGCCGCCCCGAAAGGTGGCCCGGACCGACAGCCCTGACATGCCCGAGGACACCTAGGTCCTGTGCGTCGCCCCTCGTCTGTCAGCCCCGTCTGCTCCCACCCGCGTGTTTAAGCGCAGCCAGCTCCTCCATCCAGTCTGCACCCTCCAACCTCATAGGACCCATGTATTTATTTTCCTTGAGTTCTTATTTATGCTGTAACTCGTGTCAAGCATTGGTTAAAAGGACATCAGGCCCAGCCGCGAGGTGTCGGTAGATGCTTTTTAAAGCACAGTGGTGGCCCCCACCAGGCCACCCACATCGAGACCTCGCCAGGGTCCAGAGCCCAGGGCGGGCTGGTCCCCCAACACACCGAGCGGCCTTCTCGCTCCTTCCCACCCACAGGCCTGGCCGGGTCGCAGGTCTCCCGGTCCCTCCCGTCCCCAGGCCTCACTCTGAGCCCACACCAGGGAAAGAGCTGGCCCCTCTGGATCTTTCTCTTACGTCATTTATCATGGACTAGCTCGTGCTCCACGTCCACCCCAATAAAAGGACCTTTCCTACTCTACACGGCGTCTTTGCTCCGCACACTTCGGCCGGAGCCGCTGGGACCTGCAGGAACCAACCCCTGCCTAGGGTCCTTGGGGTCGGGTCCCCTGGGAGACTGAACCCAGGACAGTACTACAGGGCTGACCAACAGCCACTCGCCACCGGGCATCATGAGCAAGGGCTGCCAGCACTGGTATCCAGCTGGCCACTCCGTCATGGGGATATGGGGCAACTACCTGGGCTGGTAGAGTGAGTGGCTGTGCACCCTCAGCTGTAGCATGGTACACACTGCAGGTATGGGGTTCTGGGGGACCCCGCATACAGAATGCACCCCGCTTGTGAAGGCTAGAGTTGTTTGTGTTCCCCAGAGGACCATTGCTTGGCTATGGCCCTGGTAGCATTTCAGCCTCTTGTGGTGACTTGGCAACTGCTCCCATGCCCTATTAACCCTGGGTGTCCTGACCAGAATACCCCACAGTACCCTTCCTGGAGCTGCTTCCTGTGCCCTGCCTCTGGAGGCCTCCCCTTTCAGATACACGCTGAAGTTTCTGCCACTCTCAGGTTTTGGTCTGAATTCCAGCTGCCTTCCCGTGATTGCCTTTACTGTGCACTCTTGGGAGTGTCACCTGGACGGCCCAGGTCCCTGCAGGCTGGCCATATGACCTGACTGGAGGCTCAGCAGGTACAGAACTTCTGTCCTGGGCACCCCTATGAGTGCACCATGCTTATGTCACATCTGACTGAGGTGTGGGGTGCCATGTGCATCTGGACCTCCTAAAGGCCTCATTCTAGGAGAACTGGGGTGCTTAGCCTCCAGCCACAGATCTGGCAAGGCCCCTTCACTGCTCTGACCTCGAGCACTGTTGAAATAGACTTTTTATTGCATTTCTGCCGTTTTACAAAAATATGACAAAATAAATTAAAAACAAATAAATAACCGCCCATCCTGTGTACTTTTCTGTACTGTGGGGGGTCCGCTCGTGGCCCCCATCCTGGTCGCGGGAACGGCAGGGGCGCGGCGGGGCTAGTGGCGGGCTGTGGGCCAGCAGGCGGGCTGCACAGGGCGTGCAGCGGCGTCCACGGGGACGCGGGGCGGGTTGTCGCCGCAGCCCCAGGCCGCGTCCCAGCGCCAGCAGCCGGCGGGAGGCGAGGCGGGCCCTGCGGAGGGAGAGCGCGGTTCGCGGGGCCCCACGGCGCCCACTGCCCTCGCGACGCGCGCCCCGGTTAAGGCCTGTGACCTGCGTCCTCCGGCCGCGGCTCCGGCTCGGCGGCCGCGGGCTCGTCCCCGGCGCTCCTGTGAGCGCGCGCGCCGCCCCCGGGGGCCCCGTTGGCTGCGGGCTCGCGCGCCGCGAAGGCGAACAGCTTCCCGGGCCGCGGCGGGGACGGACCGCGCTCGGGCGCCTTGAGGAAGCGCAGGCTGAGGAAGGCGGGCAGGCGCGTATCCGCGGGCGAGCGCGGCGGGGGCGCGCACCCGGTGGGCGCGGGCGGCCGAGTCTGCAACGGGATGATCTGCTTCAGCCGCAGCACAGGGCCGGGCGGCAGCAGCGCTCCGGGCCGTCGGGGCCGCTCGCTGCCCTTGGCCTTGGCCGCGCCGCGCTCCGCCGCGGGATCGGGGCCCGGGGCCTCCGCGCGCGCCTCCTCGCGGCCTCCGGTGTCGCGCTCCCGCCGCGCCTGCTGCTCCGCGTGCCGCTGCCGCTCCTCCTCCTCGCGCCGTCGCCGCTGCTGCTGCTGAAAGTGCTGCTGCGCTTGCCGCTCGTGCCGCTGCGTAGGGAGGACACATGCGGGCTGAGCGCCGACTGCGACCAGACCTACCCCGGGCCCCGAACCCCTGACCTGCCCCCCACCCGGTGCCTGAGGAACTGAGAGAAGAGAAGGAAACTCTGGGCTCGCTGCTCTGAGAGCAGGGAATGGGAGAGGCTGTAGACCTGCTGGGGCTTTCTCAGGAGAATCTCTTATCTCTTGCGTGTGTGTGTGTGTGTGTGTGTGTGTGTGTGTGTGTGTGTGTGTTAAGACAGGGTTTCACTCTGTAGCTCCAATTTAGAATCTTCCAGCCTCACCCTCCCCAGTGCTGGGATCACAGACATGAGCCACCATTCAGGCCCCGTCAATATAAATTAACTAAACTTCAGTTTGGAACTGATGAGGACCAGCAGAGCCACAGCCTAGAATCTCACCCTGAAGGAGTGGGGATGTGACTTGGGTATATTGGCTGCCTAAAATCCTGTCTCCTGGTTGGAGACAAGATTTTCCTAAAGTCTTCCCTAGAAGGTACAGCTCCTTGGGCCTTCACGTGGTTTGCAGAGGTGTTTGTCAGAGGCAGACTGGCAAACTAAATCAACATTCTTGAGAGCCTGTGCCATCTAGAGTCTAGACAACCCTCACCTCTGTGAGTGCAAGCTACTGGCGTCCCTTAGGGGCTGGATCCAGGACCCACAAGTATGGATGGTCTAGTCCCTTCTACAGTGGCATCCTGGGGTCTATACGCTCACACCCTCCTGGGGGCTGGAAAGATGGCTCCGTGGTTAAGAACACCGGCTGCTCTTGCAGAGGAGCCTACTTTACTTGCCAGTAACCACATGGCAGCTCACAGCCATCTGTATTCAGTTCCAGGGGATCTGATGCCCTCTACTGGTCTCCAAGGGCACTTTATAAACATGGTGCACATGCGCACATGCACACATGCAAGCAAAAGACTCATAACATAAAGTTAAATAAATATAAACAAGAAAGTCTTGGGACGGGCCGTTGGGAATGCTGTGTGAGAGCTGCTCTGAAGAGGGACCGTGCTCCACATCTGTGCTCTCAGCTAACTGAGAGGCTGGGAATGCAGGACTGCCCACGGGGAGCTGTCCCACGCTTGGACTGCACAATAAGACACACTAACGCCATACATAAAGAATTTTAAAAAGAAAACAAAACAAAAAATGGGTGTGGCGGTCCATGCCTGTCCTCAAGGCTGAGGCAGAGATGAGCTGTGCAGAACCATAGCACCTCCCCCACACATGGCAGGAAAACCCAGTAGATCTGTATGTAGTCAGTACAGATACAAATTTGGCTTTTTGTGTGTGGTGGGGGAGAGCACAACATGTAGTTAGGCTGGCCTTGAAACAGCCCCCATCCCCATGTAACTGAGGAGGGTGGGCTTTAACTACTGACCCTCCTGACCCCACCTTCTAGGTGCTGAGATGACAGCTGTGCACTAGAGCTTTCTGAAAACTTTCCATCCAAGTTGATAGAGCCCTTAAGTGCTGGACCTGGGGATGAGGGTGGGGGTGCTGCCTGCTTTGCAGCCCGGGGGCTTTCACTAAGGCTTTAGCCTTGGCTTTATTTCCTCCTGAAACCACATCAACCTGACCCCAGCCTCATCCTACCTTGAAGGCTTCCCGTCGCTGGTACTCCAGTTTGGCCATCTCCTCAGCCACCCAGCCGGGGATGTCAGGGATGGCTGCGTGGATGAGGTACTTGACTAGAAGAGCCAAGTGCTGTGGGGGGACAGACAGCAGGGGCTGCAGGCTCAGGGATACCTAGCCTCCCCACCCCACCCTCAGAATCCCCACCCTCAGGGCCCCAGCCCCACCTCTAGCACCACCACAGACACAATGGCCGCCTCTGGGCTCAGCCAGGGGAACAGGCGCTGCAGCTGGCCACACTGGCCAATGAGGTAGCAGTTCACCACGATGGCCAGCACACCCATTGCCTCCATGACCTTCTGCAGGAGAGGAAGGAGGGTCAAAGACAGGCCCAGCTAGAGACAGCCATCTCCAAGGCGCCATCCCCTCGGGGCCTCCCTGACTGGCCCACCTGCCACTGGCCAATGCTCTCCACACGCTGGCCGAAGGGCCGCTGGAGACCAGTGCACAGCTTGAAGGCATCGCTTCGGATCTCAATCAGGTTGTTGACTAGGGCACACAGGGCAGCCAGTGGGAAGGCAGAGGAGAAGAGCACTACATAGCCGAACTGCACGAACATCTCCTGGTAGTCCTGGAACGTGTCCTGGGGACGGTTGGGGGCTCCCGTTACGCTTGGCACTGCCCCCCCCCATTCATCCCACTAGACCCAGACTCTCTCCCCCACTCTGAACAAGTCCAAGGGCCACTAGCCTCCAGGTAGGGTCTTGCTCTCAACACAACCACTCCGGCTACAGGCTGAGAACCTGCATCCACCTTCGCCTGCACTCCTGGTCGTGTGTTTTTGGGGCGAGGGGGGGTTACATGGTTTGCGCAGGCGCGCTGTGTGAGCAGGGTGTGCATGAGTTTGTGTCGAGGCCAGAGGTTGACTGTGGACGCATTTCCTCAGGCAGGCTCCACCTTGTCCTTTTAAAGGCGTTCGCAGCACATGTGCAAACGTCAGAATACAGCTTCTGATAGTCTGTTCTCTACTACTGTGGGATCCCAAGGGTTTTTTCCTTTTTACTTATTTAAATCGTATTTTAGTTATGTATGTGTGAATTCCTGTGTGTTTGTGTGTGCGCACGAGTGTCCGGAGGCTAGAAGGGGTGTTAGATCCCGTGGAGCTTGAGTTACCGGCTTTTGTGAGTAGCTGATGTGGATGCAGGGACCAGACATCCACTTTTCCCAATTAGCAGCTCTCTAACCTGCTGAGCCAGCCCTCCAGTACTATTGATTTATTTTTGTTTTTCGAGACAGGGTCTTTCTGTGTAGCCCTGGCTGTCCTGGAATTCGCTATGTAGACCAGGCTGGCTTCGAACTGATAAAGAGATTCTCTGCCTCCTGAGTGCTGGATTAAAGGTGAGCACCACTACCATCCAGCCTCCTATTTATTTTTAAGGCAGGATTCTCTGTAGCCCAGGCTTGCCCAGAATGTACTATATAAGAGAGGATGACCTTGGCCTTCTGGGCTTTCTGCCTCCACTTCCTACTGCTGGGAAGACAGCCGTGCTCCACCATGCCTGGTTTGTGCGGTGCTGAGAATGGAAGCCAGGACTTCCTGCATACTAGACAAACACTCTACAAACTGAGCTATAAAGCGACACGACCCTTTGATTCTCTTTGGAGTTTCCTGTTGACCAAGCTGGCTTCCAGCCTCGACCTCCAGATGCCAAGGTGGGGTAGGCCCCTCTCACCTCATACTTCTTCATGCAGCTCTCCAGCTCTGCTTGCGTGAGCTGCGGTGAATGCTCCTCCTCTGGCGGGTCGATCCACGAGGACCTGTTATGTCTCTTCTGTTTCCCAGCCGCGTCGCCAGAGCCAGTCTCCGGGTCTCGGTCTCCATCAAGCCCTTGGTCACGGCCCTCACCGCCCGCCCGACGAAGCAAGACCGTCTGGGGCTCTGGCTCGGGGCTGCCTGGAGGCCCCTCGGGCTCATCATCATCTTCAGCCAGTGTAAACACACCAGGCTCCAGCCCCTTCTCCACCATGGTGGGGCTCCCCTCCTCTAGGAGGCCGTCGGGGCTCGGGCCTGGCCTGCGCCGCCCTGCGCCCCGTTCAGCGAAGCTGACCTTCTTGAGGCGCAGCCCGCAGTCCAGGAGGCTTCCTTCCTCGCCCTCATATTCGTCGTCTTCGTCCTCCTCCTCGTCCTCCTCCTCGTCGTCCTCCTTGCCACCCCGAGGCCCTTCTGCAACCTCCCCTCCTTCCCCTGCTGGCCTCCGCTCCACAGCCGCCTCCTCCTCCTCCTCCTCGGGCGCCCCGCAGCCACCGCCCAGGCACCTGCGGCTTCCGGCTCCGCCCTCATCAGCCTGGGCATCCAAGTGCCGTCGGGGGTCTGGGCGCAAGGGGTTCAGTAGGCCTAGCAGGGCCCGGGCCAACTCCAGGATGGTGCGCAAGCCTAGCTCCCCGCTGCCCAGCCTGCGGTACAGGTGCGGCTGCAGCACCTCGCGCACGTTCTGCAGCAACTGCCGGGTGATGAGCAGGGTGGCCAGCATCTGCGGGCGAAAAGAGGCCGCGTTGGGCGGGCAGGGCGGGGCGCGGAAGGGTCATAACCTG